ACTGAGACCCATTGAGACCCACTGAGACCCACTGAGACCAACTGAGACCAACTGAGACCCAACTGAGACCCGCTGCGACCCACTGTGTGACCCACTGCGACCCACTGCGACCAACTGAGCCCCACTGCATGCCCCACTGTGTGCCCCACCGAGCCCCACTGTGACCCACTGAGGCCCGCTGCAACCCACTGCGTGACCCACTGAGACCCACTGGGGCCAGCTGCGACCCACTGAGCCCCACTGTGACCCACTGAGGCCCACTGCGACCCACTGTGTGACCCACTGAGACCAACTGAGCCCTGCTGCGCCTCACTGCGACCCACTGAGCCCCACTGCGCCCCCCATTGAGCCCCACTGCGTGCCCCACTGCACCCCACTGAGTGACCCACTGCGCCCCGCTGTGACCAACTGCGCCCCACTGCGTGCCCCACTGCGCCCAACTGCGACCCACTGCGCCCCCCGCTGAGCCCCGCTGCGCCCCACTGTGACCGTGACCAACTGAGCCCTGCTCCGCCCCGCTGTGACCAGCGGGGGGGTCACATCCCTTGGGGGTCGCTCTATGGGGTCAGCCCCACTTGGGGGTCGCTCTATGGGGTCAGCCCCACTTGGGGGGGATCACTCTATGGGGAGTCACCCCACTTTGTGGCTGACCCCCTTTGGGGGTAACTCTTTGGGGGGGTCAGCCCCACTTGGGGGTCGCTCTATGGGGGTCACTCCACTTTGGGGGCTCACTCCATGGGGGGGGTCACCCCACTTTGGGGGCTTGCTCTATGGAGGGGTCAGCCCACTTGGGGGTCACTCTATGGGGGGTCAGCCCACTTGGGGGTCACTCTATGGGGGGTCAGCCCACTTGGGGGTCGCCCTATGGGGGGGTCAGCCCACTTTGGGGGTCGCTCATGGGGGTCAGCCCCACTTGGGGGTCGCTCTATGGGGGTCAGCCCACTTGGGGGTCGCTCTATGGGGGTCAGCCCACTTGGGGGTCGCTCTATGGGGATCAGCCCCACTTAGGGGTCGCTCTATGGGGGGGTCAGCCCACTTTGGGGGTCACTCGATGGGGGTCACATCCCTTGGGGGTCGCTCTATGGGGGTCAGCCCACTTGGGGGTCACTCTGTGGGGGTCAGCCCCACTTGGGGTGCTCTCTCTATGGGGGGGTCACCCCACTTTGGGGCTCGCTCTATGGGGGTCAGCCCCACTTGGGGGGCTCGCTCTATGGGGGTCACCCCACTTTGGGGTCTCGCTCTATGGGGGGGCTCGCTCTATGGGGGTCACCCCACTTTGGGGGCTCACTCTATGGGGTCTCGCTCTATGGGGTCTCGCTCTATGGGGGTTACCCACTTTGGGGCTCGCTCTGTGGGGGGGTCACCCCACCTGGGGGGTCACTCTATGGGGGTCAGCCCCACTTGGGGGTCGCTCTATGGGGGGTCACCCCACTTTGGGGGCTCACTCTAAGGGGGTCACCCACTTGGGGGGCTCGCTCTATGGGGGTCACCCACTCGGGGGTCACTCTGTGGGGGTCACATCCCTTGGGGGTTTCTATGGGGGGGGTGTCAGCCCACTTGGGGGTCACTCTATGGGGCTCACCCCACCTGGGGGGTCGCTCTATGGGGGTCAGCCCCACTTGGGGGTCGCTCTATGGGGTTCAGCCCCACTTGGGGGTCGCTCTATGGGGTTCAGCCCCACTTGGGGGTCTCACTCTATGGGGGTCACCCCACTTTGGGGTCTCGCTCTATGGGGTCTCGCTCTATGGGGTTCAGCCCCACTTGGGGGTCACTCTATGGGGTTCAGCCCCACTTGGGGGTCGCTCTATGGGGTCTCGCTCTATGGGGGTCAGCCCCACTTTGGGGTTCGCTCTATGGGGGTCAGCCCCACTTGGGGGTCTCGCTCTATGGGGGTCACCCCACTTTGGGGCTTGCTCTATGGGGTCTCGCTCTATGGGGTCTTGCTCTATGGGGGTCAGCCCCACTTGGGGGTCACTCTATGGGGGTCAGCCCCACTTGGGGGTCGCTCTATGGGGTTCAGCCCCACTTGGGGGTCGCTCTATGGGGTCTCACTCTATGGGGGTCAGCCCCACTTGGGGGTCGCTCTATGGGGTTCAGCCCCACTTGGGGGTCGCTCTATGGGGGTCAGCCCCACTTGGGGGTCACTCTGTGGGGGTCACCCCACTTGGGGGTCGCTCTATGGGGGTCACCCCACTTTGGGGTCTCTATGGGGGTCAGCCCCACTTTGGGGTCTCGCTCTATGGGGTCTCGCTCTATGGGGTTCAGCCCCACTTGGGGGTCGCTCTTTGGGGGTTCCTGTTTCTTGTGGGGATTTTTAGCCTTGGGAGGAGGGGTGGGGGGGAGGGGGGGGGTGGGGGAGGTGCTCCCGGAGCCGTTTTAACCTGACCGCCCCCTTACCCAGAATGGGGGGCAGCCCCTCCCCCTCCCAGCACCCCGTTCACACAAGGGGGGGGCTGCCCCTCCCCCCCCCCATCCCCTCCCATCCCCCCGCCTTGTTTTGGGGTTTTTTAAATAAAAATGGTTCAAAAAGCAGCGTTGGATGGGGGTGGGGTGGTTTTTGGGGGGGGAGGGGCGCGATGTGGGGTGGTTATGGGGTGCTGAGGGGTGGTTATGGGGTGCTATGGGGTGGTTATGGGGTGCTGGGGGGTGGTTGTGGGGTGCTGGGGGGTGGTTGTGGGGTGCTATGGGGTGGTTATGGGGTGCTATGGGGTGGTTATGGGGTGCTATGGGGTGGTTATGGGGTGCTATGGGGTGGTTATGGGGTGCTGAGGGGTGGTTGTGGGGTGGTTATGGGGTGCTGTGGGGTGGTTGTGGGGTGCTGTGGGGTGGTTGTGGGGTGGTTATGGGGTGCTGAGGGGTGGTTATGGGGTGCTATGGGGTGGTTATGGGGTGTCTGTGGGGCGCTATGGGGTGTCTATGGGGTGGTCATGGGCGGGTGATGGGGTGGATATGGGGTGGTGATGGGGGGGTTATGGGGTGCTATGGGGCAATTATGGTGTGTCATGGGGCGGTTATGGGGCAATGAGGGGAGGTTATGGGGTGCTGAGGGGTGGTTATGGGGTGCTGAGGGGTGGTTATGGGGGGCTATGGGGCGCTATGGGGGGGTGGTTATGGGGGGCTATGGGGCGCGCTATGGGGCGCTGTGGGGCTATGGGGGGGTGGTTATGGGGCGCTATGGGGGGGTGGTTATGGGGTGCTATGGGGTGCTATGGGGCAGTTACGGTGTGTCATGGGACAGTTGTGGGGCGCTGAAGAGTACTTATGGGGCTCTGAGGAGTGGTTATGGGGCGGTTATGGGGCGCTGAGGGGTGGTTATGGGGTGCTGAGGGGTGGTTATGGGGTGCTATGGGGCAATTATGGTGTGTCATGGGGCGGTTATGGGGCAATGAGGGGAGGTTATGGGGTACTGAGGGGCGGTTATGGGGCGCTCTGGGGCAGCTATGGGGTGCTCTGGGGCAGCTATGGGGCGCTCTGAGACAGGTATAGGGCAGCTATGGGGTGCTATAGGGCGCTATGGGGTACTCTGGGGTGCTCTGGGGCAGCTATGGGGCGCTATGGTGTGCTGTGGGGCAGCTATAGGGAGCTATGGGGAGCTCTGGGGAGCTCTGGGGCAGCTATGGGGCGCTTTGGAGCGCTACGGTGTGCTATGGGGCGCTATGGGGTGCTGTGGGGCAGCTATGGGGCGCTATGGGGCAGCTATGGGGTGCTCTGGGGCGCTATAGAGCGCTATGGGGCAGCTATGGGGTGCTCTGGGACAGCTCTGGGGCACTCTGGGGCTGCTATGGGGCGCTATGGGGCACTCTGGGGCAGCTCTGGGGCAGCTCTGGGGCACTCTGGGGCAGCTCTGGGGTGCTCTGGGGCAGCTATGGGGCAGCTATGGGGCGCTGTGGGGTCCTATGGGGCGCTATGGGGCAGCTATGGGGCGCTATGGGGCAGCTATGGGGTGCTCTGGGGCGCTATAGGGCGCTATGGGCGCTATAGAGCGCTATGGGGCAGCTATGGGGCAGCTCTGGGGCAGCTATGGGGCGCTATAGAGCGCTATGGGGCAGCTATGGGGTGCTCTGGGGCAGCTCTGGGGCACTCTGGAGCAGCTATGGGGCAGCTCTGGGGCGCTCTGGGGCAGCTATGGGGCGCTCTGGGGCAGCTATAGGGCACTATAGGGCGCTATGGGGCACTCTGGGGCAGCTATGGGGCGCTATGGGGCACTCTGGGGCAGCTCTGGGGCAGCTATGGGGCACTCTGGGGCGCTATGGGGCGCTATGGGGCACTCTGGAGCAGCTATAGGGCGCTATGAGGCAGCTATGGGGCACTCTGGAGCAGCTATGGGGCACTATAGGGCGCTATGGGTCACTCAGCCTCAGCTCTTTCCCAGCCCCCCCCATCCCCTCCCCTCCCCTCCCTCCCATCCGCGCATGCGCCGCTCCCTCCTCCTCCTCCTCCCCCTCCCCTTGGCTCCTCCCCCGGCGGCGGCGGCGGCGGCGCTCGCGGCGTTGGCGCATGCGCGGCGCGGCGCTCGCGGCGTTGGCGCATGCGCGGCGCGGTGCTCGCGGCGTTGGCGCATGCGCGGCTCGGTGCTCGCGGCGTTGGCGCATGCGCGGCTCGGTGCTTGCGGCTTGGCGCATGCGCGGTGCGGTGCTTGCGGCGTTGGCGCATGCGCGGCTCGGTGCTCGCGGCGTTGGCGCATGCGCGGCGCGGTGCTTGCGGCGTTGGCGCATGCGCGGCGCGGTGCTTGCGGCGCTGGCGCATGCGCAGGGCGGTGCTCGCGGCATTGGCGCATGCGCGGCTCGGTGCTCGCGGCGTTGGCGCATGCGCGGCTCGGTGCTCGCGGCGTTGGCGCATGCGCGGCTCGGTGCTCGCGGCGTTGGCGCATGCGCGGAGCGGTGCCTGCGGCGTTGGCGCATGCGTGGCTCGGTTCTTGCGGCGTTGGCGCATGCGCGGCGCGGTGCTTGCGGCGTTGGCGCATGCGCGGCGCGGTGCTTGCGGCGCTGGCTGCGGGGGAAGATGGCGGCGTCCTCGCTGGAGCAGAAGCTGTCGCGCCTGGAGGCGAAGCTCAAGCAGGAAAACCGCGAGGCCCGAAGGAGAATCGACCTCAGCCTCGAGATCACCGCCACCGCCACCGCCACCGGCACCGGCACCGCCACCGCCGCAGCCGCAGGGAGCGGCACCGGCAGCGGCAGCGGCAGAGCGAGGCCCAGTGAGGGAACGGGAACGGGAACGGGGAGGCCTAGGGCGGGGGGGTGGGGGGGGGGATTGGGGGGTGTTGGGGGGTACTGGGGGTACTTATGGGGCGCTGGGGGTACTTATGGGGAGCTGTGAGGCAATTGTGGGGTAATTGGAGGGTGCTGGGGGGAACTGTGGGGCGCTGGGGGTACTTGTGGGGCGCTGTGAGGCAATTGGGGGGTAATTGAGGGGTGTTGGGGGTGCTGGGGGTACTTATGGGGCGCTGGGGGTACTTGTGGGGAGCTGTGAGGCAATTGGGGGGTAATTAGGGAGTGTTGGGGGTCACTGGGGGTACTTATGGGGCTCTGTGAGGCAATTGTGGGGTAATTGAGGGGTGTTGGGGGTGCTGGGGGCACTTATGGGGCGCTGTGAGGTAATTATGGGGCAATTGGGGGGTGCTGGGGGTCACTGGGGGTACTTATGGGGCGCTGTGAGGCAATTGTGGGGCAATTGGGGGGTTCTGGGGGTCACTGGGGGTACTTATGGGGCGCTGTGAGGCAATTGTGGGGCAATTGGGGGGTGTTGGGGGTAGGTGTGGGGCGCTGCGGGGTGTTGGGGGTCACTGGGGGCACTTATGGGGCGCTATGAGGCAATTGTGGGGTAATTGAGGGTTGTTGGGGGGGGTTGGGGGTACTTATGGGGCGCTGTGAGGCAATTGTGGGGCAATTGGAGGGTGCTGGGGGGCACTGGGGGTACTTATGGGGCGCTATGAGGCAATTGGGGGGTAATTGGAGGGTGCTGGGGGTCACTGGGGGCACTTATGGGGCACTGGGGGTACTTGTGGGGCGCTGTGAGGCAATTGTGGGGTAATTGAGGGGTGTTGGGGGTCACTGGGGGTACTTATGGGTCACTGGGGGCACTTATGGATCACTGGGGGTACTTATGGGGCACTGTGAGGCAATTGGGGGGTAATTGAGGGGTGTTGGGGGTCACTGGGGGAACTTATGGGGCGCTGTGAGGCAATTGTGGGACAATTGGGGGGTGTTGGGTGTCACTGGGGGCACTTATGGGGCACTGGGGGTACTTATGGGGCGCTGTGAGGCAATTGTGGGACAATTGGAGGGTGCTGGGGGGAGCTGTGGGGCGCTGGGGGTACTTGTGGGGCGCTGTGAGGCAATTGTGGGACAATTGGGGGGTGCTGGGGGGAGCTGTGGGGCGCTGGGGGTACTTGTGGGGCGCTGTGAGGCAATTGTGGGGTAATTGAGTGGTGTTGGGGGTCACTGGGGGAACTTATGGGGCGCTGTGAGGCAATTGGACAATTGGAGGGTGCTGGGGGGAGCTGTGGGGCGCTGGGGGTACTTGTGGGGCGCTGTGAGGCAATTGTGGGGCAATTGGGGGGTTCTGGGGGTCACTGGGGGTACTTATGGGGCGCTGTGAGGCAATTGGGGGGCAATTGCGGGGTGCTGGGGGTACTTATGGGGCGCTTGAGGCAATTATGGGGCAATTGGAGGGTGTTGGGGGTCACTGGGGGTACTTATGGGGCGCTATGAGGCAATTGTGGGGTAATTGAGGGGTGTTGGGGGTCGCTGGGGGCACTTATGGGGCTCTGTGAGGCAATTGTGGGGCAATTGGAGGGTGCTGGAGGGAGCTGTGGGGCGCTGGGGGTATTTATGGGGCGCTGTGAGGCAATTGTGGGGCAATTGGAGGGTGCTGGGGGTCACTGGGGGCACTTACGGGGCACTGGGGGTACTTATGGGGCACTCTGAGGCAACTGTGGGGTAATTGAGGGGTGTTGGGGGTCACTGGGGGCACGTATGGGGCACTGGGGGCACTTATGGGGCCCTGTGAGGCAATTGGGGGGCAATTAGGGGGTGTGGGGGGTGCTGGGGGTACTTGTGGGAAGCTGGAGGTACTTATGGGGCGCTGTGAGGCAATTGTGGGGCAATTGGAGGGTGCTGGGGGTCACTGGGGGCACTTATGGGGCACTGTGAGGCAATTGGGGGGTAATTGGAGGGCGCTGGGGGCAGTTATGGGGCACTGTGGGGCAGTTGGGGGGTGCTGGGGGCTCTTGGGGGGGCCCTGGGGGCAGTTATAGGGCACTGGGGGGCAGGTGTGGGGCAATTTGAGGGTGCTGGGGGCAGTTGTGGGGTGCTGGGGGAAGGTGTAGGGCGCTGCAGGCTGTTGGGGGGCACTGGGGGCAGTTGGGGGGCATTGGAGGCAGTTGTGGGGCGCTGTGAGGCAATTGTGGGGCAATTGGAGGGTGCTGGGGGGCAGTTGTAGGGCGCTGGGGGCTGTTGGGTGGTGCTGGGGGCAGTTATGGGGCGCTGTGGGGCAGTTCGAGGACATTGGGGGTCACTGGGGGCAGTTGTGGGGCGCTGTGAGGCAGTTGTGGGTCAATTGGAGGGCGCTGTGGGGCAGTTGTGGGGTACTGGGGGCAGTTGGAGGGGTGCTGGGGGGAGTTACAGGGCGCTGTGGGGGCAGTTGGGGGTCACTGGGGGCAGTTGTGGGGTCACTGGGGGCAGTTGTGGGGTGCTGTGAGGCAATTGGGGGGCGCTGGGGGGCAGTTGTGGGGTACTGGGGGCAGTTGGAGGGGGGCTGGGGGGCGCTGTGGGGGCAGTTGGGGGTCACTGGGGGCAGTTGTGGGGTGCTGTGAGGCAATTGGGGGGCGCTGGGGGGCAGTCGTGTGTGGGTCACTGGCAGCAGTTGGGGGTCACGGTGCAGTTGGGGGTCACTGGGGGCAGGTGTGGGGCAATTGGAGGGCGCTGGGGGGAGCAGTTGTGGGGTGCTGGGGGCTGTTGGGTGGTGCTGGGGGTAGTTATATGGTGCTGTGGGGCAGTTGTGGGGCACTGGGGGCAGTTGTGGGGCACTGGGGGCAGGTGTGGGGCACTGTGAGGCAATTGTGGGGCAGTTGTGGGTCCCTGGGGGCTGTTGTGGGTCGCTGTGGGGCAGTTGGGGGTCACTGTGGGGCACTTGGGGGACTCTGGGGGCAGTTTTGGGGCAATTGGAGGGTGCTGGGGGGCAGTTGGGTGGTGCTGGAGGCAGTTATAGGGCGCTGTGGGGCAGTTCGAGGACACTGGGGGCAGTTGGGGGTCACTGGGGGCAGGTGTGGGGCAATTGGAGGGCACTGGGGGGCAGTTGTGGGGTACTGGGGGCAGTTGGAGGGGGGCTGGGGGGAGTTACAGGGCGCTGTGGGGGCAGTTGGGGTCACTGGGGGCAGTTGGGGGTCACTGGGGCAGTTGTGGGGCGCTGTGAGGCAATTGGGGGGCGCTGGGGGGCAGTTGTGTGTGGGGCACTGGCGGCAGTTGGGGGTCACGGTGCAGTTGGGGGCCACTGGGGGCAGTTGTGGGGCAATTGGAGGGTGCTGGGGGGGCAGTTGTAGGGCGCTGGGGGCTGTTGGGTGGTGCTGGGGGCAGTTATGGGGCACTGAGGGGCAGTTCGAGGACACTGGGGGCAGTTGGGGGTCACTGGGGGCAGTTGTGGGGCGCTGTGAGGCAGTTGTGGGTCAATTGGAGGGCACTGTGGGGCAGTTGTGGGGTACTGGGGGCTGTTGGGTGGTGCTGGGAGTAGTTATAGGGCGCTGTGGGGCAGTTCTAGGGCACTGGGGGCACTTGTGGGGCACTGGGGGCACTTGTGGGGCACTGGGGGCAGGTATTGGGCGCTGTGGGCTATTGGGTGGGTGCTGGGGGTAGTTGGGGGTCCCGGTGCAGTTGGGGGTCACTGGGGGCAGTTGTGGGGTGCTGTGAGGCAATTGGAGGGTGCTGGGGGCACGTGTGGGGCTCTCCGGGCTGTTGGGGGGTGCTGTGAGGCAATTGTAGGGCACTGGGGGCAGTTGTGGGGCACTGGGGGCAGTTGTGGGGTGCTGAGGGCAGTTGTGGGGCACTGGCGGGAGTTATAGGGCGCTGTGGGGCAGTGGGTGCTCACTGGGGGCAGTTGTGGGGGCGGTTGTGGGGCAATTGGAGGGTGCTGGGGGGCAGTTGTGGGGTGGTTGTGGGGCAGTTGGGGGTCACTGGGGGGGGGGGGCACATCCCCCCCCATGGATGCACTCTGGGCCCCCTCCCCCCCCCCAGGTAGGCCCCATCCACCCCCGGGAGGGGGGGAGGGGCAGCCCCCCCACACCCCTCCCCCCTCTTTCCCCCCCCTCCCCCCCATTTCCCCTCGCCCCTCCCCCCGTGCCCGCGGGGATTTACGTTTTTTTTCTTTCTTTTCCTTATTTCCCCCCCTTTTTCCCCCTCATTTTTGTTATTTTCTCCCCCTCCCCCCCTTCCCCCACCCCTCCCCCCCCTCCCTCCCCCCCTCCCCCACCCCCCCCCATCCCCCCCCTCCAGTTATCGTCATCACCCTTAGCCCCGCTCCCGCTCCGTCCCAGCGAGCAGGTACCACCGTGCCCCTCCCCCCCCCCACCCCCCCAACCCCCCCTTTGCCCCCTCGCTGACCCCCCCTCTGTGTGCCCCGCCCCCACATCCCCCCTCCCCCCCCCCCCCCCCCCATATCCACTCAATGGAGCCGCTTCTCCCTCCCCCCCCCCCCCCTTTGTGCCCCTCCCCCCGCATGGAGTGCGCATGCCCCCCCCGCATGGGGGGTGGGGGTGGGGGTGGGGGGGGTGTGTGTACAATTGGGGGGGGAGGGGGGGTGGGGGAGGCCCCATATGGGACATGGGGGGGGTTTTGGGGGGGTGCTGACACCTCTCTCTGCCCCCTCCCCCCCCCTTCCTTCTTCCCCTCCCCCCTCCGCCCCTCCCCCCAGCCTTGCAGTTGCCCCTGGTCAGCGATGGGGGGGGCAGGGCCGGACCCCCCGAGGGCCCCCAGCCCCCCCTGCCCCCCCCCCGCCCCCGGCACATGCTGGGGCTGCCGCAGCCGCCGTTCCTGGTGCCCCGCAGCGTGGAGAGGTGAGGAACCCCCCCCCTCCCCCCCGCGCCCCCCAAGTGCCCCCCAAGTGCCCCCCTGTGCCCCCCAAGTGCCCCCTAAGTCCCCTCTGTGCCCCACACGCACACACACGCACCCCATTGGCTGGGCAGGTGAAAGCGAGCGCCCCCATTGGCCCACTGGAAGGCTGAGGTTTGCTGGGATTCGCTGAAGGGACGGAGGGGGCGTGCGTTGTGGTTGGGCACAGGGTCTGGGATCGCGTGCTCTGATTGGTCAAGGAGATTTCCGCACGCTGATTGGCCAGGTCTCTGCCTTTGCCTCGTTTTGATTGGCCAGAGGCTGTGGGATCGCGTGCTCTGATTGGCCAAGGAGATTTCCGCATGCTGATTGGCCAGGCCTCTGCCTTTGCCTTGTTCTGATTGGCCAGGGTCTGTGGGATCGCGACCTCTGATTGGCCAAAGAGGTTTCCGCACGCTGATTGGCCGGGCCTCTGCCTTTGGTTCATTCTGATTGGCCAGAGGCTGTGGGATCGCATCCTCTGATTGGCCAAGGAGATTTCCACATGCTGATTGGCCGGGCCTCTGCCTTTGCCTCATTCTGATTGGCCAGAGGTTGTGGGATCGCATGCTCTGATTGGTCAGGTGGATTTCTATATGCTGATTGGCAGAAACCACCAGATGGGGCAGGTCTCCCCCTTTGCCTTATTCTGATTGGCCAGAGGTTGTGGGCCGGGCCCCCCAAGTCCCCTCTGTGCCCCACACACACACCCCATTGGCTGGGCAGGCGGAAGCCAGCGCCCCCATTGGCCCACTGGAAGGCTGAGGTCTGCTGTGATTCGCTGAAGGGACGGAGGGGGCGTGCGTTGTGGTTGGGCTGATTGGTCAAGGAGATTTCCGCACACTGATTGGCCAGGTCTCTGCTTTTGCCTCGTTTTGATTGGCCAGAGGCTGTGGGATCGCATCCTCTGATTGGCCAAGGAGATTTCCGCACGCTGATTGGAGGTTTGCCTCGCTGATACAGAGGCTGATTGGCCGGGCCTCTGCCTTTGGTTCATTCTGATTGGCCAGAGGCTGTGGGATCACGTGCTCTGATTGGTCAGGTGGATTTCTATATGCTGATTGGCAGAAACCACCAGATGGGGCAGGTCTCCCCCTTTGCCTCATTCTGATTGGCCAGAGGCTGTGGGCCTACCCCTGGGCCCCCCAAGTCCCCTCTGTGCCCCACACACACACACACGCACCCCATTGGCTGGGCAGGCGGAAGCCAGCGCCCCCATTGGCCCACTGGAAGGCTGAGGTTTGCTGGGATTCGCTGAAGGGACGGAGGGGGCGTGCGTTGTGGTTGGGCAGAGGGTCTGGGATCGCGTGCTCTGATTGGCCAAGGAGATTTCCGCACGCTGATTGGCCAGGTCTCTGCCTTTGCCTCGTTCTGATTGGCCAGAGGCTGTGGGATCGCGTGCTCTGATTGGTCAGGTGGATTTCTATGTGCTGATTGGCAGAAACAGCCAGATGGGGCAGGCCTCCCCCTTTGCCTCATTCTGATTGGCCAGAGGCTGTGGGCCCACCCCTGTGCCCCCCAAGTCCCCTCTGTGCCCCACACGCACGCACCCCATTGGCTGGGCAGGCGGAAGCCAGAGCCCCCATTGGCCCACTGGAAGGCTGAGGTTTGCTGGGATTCGCTGAAGGGACGGAGGGGGCGTGCGTTGTGGTTGGGCAGAGGGTCTGGGATCGCGTGCTCTGATTGGCCAAGGAGATTTCCGCACGCTGATTGGCCGGGCCTCTGCCTTTGCCTCGTTCTGATTGGCCAGAGGCTGTGGGATCGCATCCTCTGATTGGCCAAGGAGATTTCCGCATGCTGATTGGCCAGGCCTCCCCCTTTGCCTCGTTCTGATTGGCCAGAGGCTGTGGGATCGCGTGCTCTGATTGGTCAGGTTGATTTCTATATGCTCATTGGCAGAAACCGCCAGATGGGGCAGGTCTCCCCCTTTGCCTCGTTCTGATTGGCCAGAGGCTGTGGGCCCACCCCTGGGCCCCCCAAGTCCCCTCTGTGCCCCACACACACACACACGCACCCCATTGGCTGGGCAGGCGGAAGCCAGCGCCCCCATTGGCCCACTGGAAGGCTGAGGTTTGCTGGGATTCGCTGAAGGGACGGAGGGGGCGTGCGTTGTGGTTGGGCAGAGGGTCTGGGATCGCATGCTCTGATTGGTCAAGGAGATTTCCGTATGCTGATTGGCCAGGCGTCCGCCTTTGTCTTGTTCTGATTGGCCAGAGGGTCTGGGATCGCATCTTCTGATTGGCCAAGGAGATTTCCGCACGCTGATTGGCCAGGTCTCTGCCTTTGTCTCGTTCTGATTGGCCAGAGGCTGTGGGATCGCGTGCTCTGATTGGTCAGGTTGATTTCTATATGCTGATTGGCAGAAACCGCCTGATGGGGCAGGCCTCCCCCTTTGCCCCACTCTGATTGGCCAGAGCTCCGGGAGATCACGTGCAGTGGTTGGCTGGATGTGCAGGGGGCTGTTGGTGCCTATTGGCCAGAGCTCCAAGGGGATCACGTGTGCTGCCGGTGCTGATTGGTCGGATGCTCATTGGCTGCTCAGGCAGGGTTTTCCCCTGTGCTGATTGGCCAGGAGACTGAGGGCTCGATGGTGCTGATTGGCCAAAGGTCCAGAGGGTTGCGGGTGCTGATTGGCCAGGCAGACGGGAATCCCTGAATAGTGATTGGGCAGACAGCTGCGATGCCCTGCATGCTGGTTGGCTACAAAGGGGAGAGATCCTTGCTGTGATTGGTCAGATGACCAGGAGCATGTGGGTGCTGATTGGCCGCACAGGCCCTGCCTTCTGGTGGTTTGGTTCGCGGTTCAGGTGCTGATTGGCTGGGTGTCCCCCTGGCCCTTTCTGATTGGCCAGGCCTCTCCCTTTGCCCTATTCTGATTGGCCAGGCTCCCCCTTTACCCTGTTCTGATTGGCCAGGCTCCCCCTTTACCCCATTCTGATTGGCCAGGCTTCCCCTTTACCTCATTCCGATTGGCCAGGCTCCCCCTTTACCTCATTCTGATTGGCCAGGCTCCCCCTTTACCCCATTCCGATTGGCCAGGCTCCCCCTTTACCCCATTCTGATTGGCCAGGCTTCCCCTTTACCTCATTCTGATTGGCCAGGCTCCCCTTTTACCCCATTCTGATTGGCCAGGCTCCCTTTTTACCCCATTCTGATTGGCCAGGCTCCCCCTTTACCCCGTTCCGATTGGCCAGGCTCCCCTTTTACCCTACTCTGATTGGCCAGGCTCCCTTTTTACCCCATTCTGATTGGCCAGGCTCCCCCTTTACCCCATTCTGATTGGCCAGGCTCCCCCTTTACCCCATTCTGATTGGCCAGGCTTCCCCTTTACCTCATTCTGATTGGCCAGGCTCCCTTTTTACCCCATTCTGATTGGCCAGGCTCCCCTTTTACCCCATTCTGATTGGCCAGGCTCCCCTTTTACTCCATTCTGATTGGCCAGGCTCCCTTTTTACCCCATTCTGATTGGCCAGGCTCCCCTTTTACCCCATTCTGATTGGCCAGGCTCCCTTTTTACCCCATTCCGATTGGCCAGGCTCCCCCTTTACCCCATTCTGATTGGCCAGGCTCCGCTTTTACCCCATTCCGATTGGCCAGGCTCCCCTTTTACGGCGTTCCGATTGGCCAGGCTCCCCCTTTACCCCATTCTGATTGGCCAGGCTCCCCCTTTACCCCATTCTGATTGGCCAGGCTCCCCCTTTACCCCATTCTGATTGGTCAGGCTCCCCCTTTTACCCCATTCTGATTGGCCAGGCTCCCCTTTTACCCCATTCTGATTGGCCAGGCTCCCCCTTTACCCCATTCTGATTGGCCAGGCTCCCCTTTTACCCCATTCTGATTGGCCAGGCTCCCTTTTTACCCCATTCTGATTGGCCAGGCTCCCCCTTTACCCCATTCTGATTGGCCAGGCTCCCTTTTTACCCCATTCTGATTGGCCAGGCTCCCCTTTTACCCCATTCTGATTGGCCAGGCTCCCCTTTTACCCCATTCTGATTGGCCAGGCTCCCCTTTTACCCCATTCTGATTGGCCAGGCTCCCTTTTTACCCCATTCTGATTGGCCAGGCTCCTCTTTTACCCCATTCTGATTGGCCAGGCTCCCTTTTTACCCCATTCTGATTGGCCAGGCTCCCCCTTTTACCCCATTCTGATTGGCCAGGCTCCCTTTTTACCCCATTCTGATTGGCCAGGCTCCTCTTTTACCCCATTCTGATTGGCCAGGCTCCCTTTTTACCCCATTCTGATTGGCCAGGCTCCCTTTTTACCCCATTCTGATTGGCCAGGCTCCCTTTTTACCCCATTCTGATTGGCCAGGCTCCCTTTTTACCCCATTCTGATTGGCCAGGCTTCCCTTTTTACCCCATTCTGATTGGCCAGGCTCCCTTTTTACCCCATTCTGATTGGCCAGGCTCCCTTTTTACCCCATTCTGATTGGCCAGGCTCCCCTTTTACCCCATTCTGATTGGCCAGGCTCCCCCTTTACCCCATTCTGATTGGCCAGGCTCCCCCTTTACCCCATTCTGATTGGCCAGGCTCCCTTTTTACCCCATTCTGATTGGCCAGGCTCCTCTTTTACCCCATTCTGATTGGCCAGGCTCCTCTTTTACCCCATTCTGATTGGCCAGGCTCCCCTTTACCCCATTCTGATTGGCCAGGCTCCCCCTTTACCCCATTCTGATTGGCCAGGCTCCCCTTTTACCCCATTCTGATTGGCCAGGCTCCCTTTTTACCCCATTCTGATTGGCCAGGCTCCCTTTTTACCCCATTCTGATTGGCCAACCTCCTCTTTCTTCTCCCCAGCATCGAAATCGACCAGAAGCTGCAGGAGATCATGAAGCAGACCGGGTACCTCACTGTGGGGGGGCAGGTGAGCAATGGGGGGGGGGATGACAACACCCAGGACGCATGGTGTGGGACCAATGGGTCCCTGACCCCCAACCATGTGTGTGTGTGTCCCCATCCTGCCCCATAGCGTTACCAAGCAGAGATCAACGACCTGGAAAACCTGGGGGAGATCGGGAGCGGGACCTGCGGCCAGGTGTGGAAGATGCGGTTCCGCAAGACCGGCCACGTCATCGCTGTCAAGGTGGGGACCCCCCCCCCAGCACCCCAAAATGAGCTGGGATCCAAGCCTGACCCCCAACTCCCCCCCCCTTCCCTGCCCTCCAACAGCAAATGCGGCGCTCGGGGAACCGGGAGGAGAACAAACGGATCCTGATGGATCTGGATGTGGTGCTCAAGAGCCACGACTGCCCCTACATCGTGCAGTGCTTCGGGACCTTCATCACCAACGTGAGCGCTGAGCACCCCCCGGGCCTCGAGGCAGACGGGGTGCACCCCGCATCTAGGGTCTGGATTCATCCGTGGGTCCCTCCAGGGTCTGGATTCATCCGTGGGTCCTCCCAGATCCATCCATGGGTGCCCCTAGGGTCCAGATCCATCCATGGGTCCCTCCCAGATCCGTCCATGGGTCCCCACAGGGTCCAAATCCATCCATGGGTGCCCCTAGGGTCCAGATCCATCCATGGGTCCCCACAGGGTCCAGATCCATCCATGGGTCCCCACAGGGTCCGGATCCATCCATGGGTCCCCACAGGGTCCAAATCAATCCATGGGTGCCCTAGGGTCTGGATCCATCCATGGGTGCCCCTAGGGTCTGGATCCATCCATGGGTGCTCTCAGGGTCCACATCCATCCATGGGTCCCCACAGGGTCCAAATCCATCCATGGGTGCCCCTAGGGTCCGGATCCATCCATGGGTGCCCCTAGGGTCCAGATCCATCCATGGGTCCTCTCAGGGTCCACATCCACCCATGGGTGCCCCCAGGGTCCGGATCCATCCATGGGTTCGCACAGGGTCCGGATCCATCCATGGGTGCCCCTAGGGCCCGGATTCATCCATGGGTGCCCCTAGGGCCCGGATTCATCCATGGGTGCCCCTAGGTCCGGATCCACCCATGGGTGCCCCTAGGGTCCAGATCCATCCATGGGTGCCCCTAGGGTCCAGATCCATCCATGGGTGCCCCCAGGGTCCGGATCCATCCATGGGTGCCCCTAGGGTCCAGATCCATCCATGGGTGTCCCTAGGATCCGGATCCATCCATGGGTCCCCACAGGGTCTGGATACATCCATGGGTGCCCCTAGGGTCCAGATCCATCCTTGGGTGCCCCTAGGGTCCGGATCCATCCATGGGTCTCCCTGGGATCCAGATCCATCCGTGGGTGTCCCTAGGGCCCGGATTCATCCATGGGTGCCCCTAGGGTCCAGATCCACCCATGGGTGCCCCTAGGGTCCAGATCCATTCATGGGTGCCCCTAGGGTCCAGATCCATCCATGGGTGCCCCTAGGGTCCAGATCCACCCATGGGTGCCCCTAGGGTCCAGATCCACCCATGGGTGCCCCTAGGGTCCGAATCCATCCATGGGTCCCCACAGGGTCCAGATCCACCCATGGGTGCCCCTAGGGTCCAGATCCATCCATGGGTGCTCTCAGGGCCCGGATCCATCCTTGGGTGCCCCTAGGGTCCAGATCCATCCATGGGTGCTCTCAGGGGCCATATCCACCCATGGGTGCCCCTAGGGTCCAGATCCATCCATGGGTGCCCCTAGGGTCCAGAACCATTTATGGGTCCAGATCCATCCATGGGTGATCCAGATCCATCCATGGGTGCCCCCTATCCATGGGTGCCCCTAGGGTCCGGATCCATCCATGGGTGCCCCTAGGGTCCAGATCCATCCATGGGTGCCCCTAGGGTCCAGATCCATCCATGGGTGCCCCTAGGGTCCGGATCCATCCATGGGTGCCCCTAGGGTCTGGATCCATCCATGGGTGCCCCTAGGGTCCGGATCCATCCATGGGTGCCCCTAGGGTCCGGATCCATCCATGGGTCTCCCTGGGATCCAGATCCATCTGTGGGTGCCCCTAGGGTCCAGATCCATCCATGGGTGCCCCTAGGGTCCAGATCCATCCATGGGTGCTCTCTCAGGGTCCGGATCCATCCATGGGTGCCCCTAGGGTCCAGATCCATCCATGGGTGCCTCTAGGGTCCAGATCCATCCATGGGTGCCCCTAGGGTCCAGATCCATCCATGGGTGCTCTCAGGGTCCAGATCCACCCATGGGTGCCCCTAGGGTCCAGATCCATCCATGGGTGCCCCTAGGGTCCAGAACCATTTATGGGTCGCCCTGGGATCCAGATCCATCCATGGGTGCCCCTAGGGTCCGGATCCATCCATGGGTGCCCCTAGGGTCTGGATCCATCCATGGGTGCCCCTAGGATCCAGATCCATCCATGGGTGCCCCTAGGGTCCCGATCCACCCATGGGTGCCCCTAGGGTCCAGATCCATCCATGGGTGCTCCTAGGGTCCCGATCCACCCATGGGTGCCCCCAGGGTCCGGATCCATCCATGCCCCCCCCCCCCCCCCAAGGGGTCCAGCTCCCTCCCTGCCTCCTTCCCTCACCCTTCCCTTCCTCCCCATCCCCAGACCGACGTCTTCATCGCCATGGAGCTCATGGGCACCTGCGCTGAGAAGCTCAAGAAGCGCATCCAGGGCCCCATTCCCGAGCGCATCCTGGGGAAGATGACGGTGGCGGTGAGCGGGGTTTTGGGGTGCCCAGGGATGGGGCCGCAGTGTTTTTGGGGGGACGGGGGGGGGGGTCCCGCGGCTGCTGACGGCCTCCCCGCAGATCGTGAAGGCGCTGTTCTACCTGAAGGAGAAGCACGGCGTGATCCATCGGGACGTGAAACCTTCCAACATCCTCCTGGACGAGCGGGGCCAGGTCAAGCTCTGCGACTTCGGCATCAGCGGCCGCCTCGTGGACTCCAAAGCCAAGACCCGCAGCGCCGGCTGCGCCGCCTACATGGCCGTGAGCACCCATGGGTGCCGGGTGCGGGGAGGGCATGGGGGGGGCTCGGGGGTGATGGGTGCTGAGGGTGCCCTCGGTGCCTCCATCCTCTCTGTTTCTCTCTCCCCACCACCACCAGCCCGAGCGCATCGATCCCCCCGACCCTACCAAGCCCGACTACGATATCCGCGCCGACGTCTGGAGCCTCGGCATCTCCCTGGTGACGTGTCCTTAACGGGTCCTTAACGTGTCCCTAGCGTGTCCTTAACGTGTCCCCGGCATGCCCTTAACGTGTCTCTGGCGTGTCCTTAACGTGTCCCTAACGCGTCCTTAACGTGTCCCTAGCATGTCCTTAACGTGTCCCTGGCGTGTCCTTGACGTGTCCCTGGCGTGTCCTTGACGTGTCCCTGGCGTGTCCTTAACGTGTCCCCGGCGTGTCCTTAACGTGTCCCTGGCGTGTCCCTGGCGTGCCCTTAACGTGGCCCTGGCCTGCCCTTAACGTGTCCCTGGCGTGCCCTTAACGTGTCCCTGGCATGCCCTTAACGTGTCCTTAGTGTGTCCCTAATGTGTCCCTGGCATGTCCTTAACGTGTCCCTGGCATGTCCTTAACGTGTCCCCGGTGTGTCCTTAACGTGTCCCTGGCGTGTCCCCAGCGTGCCCTTAACGTGTCCCTGGCGTGCCCTTAACGTGTCCTTAGCGTGTCCCTAATGTGTCCCTGGCATGTCCTTAACGTGTCCCTGGCATGTCCTTAACGTGTCCCCGGCGTGTCCCCAGCGTGCCCTTAACGTGTCCCTGGCGTGCCCTTAACGTGTCCTTAGCATGTCCCTAATGTGTCCCTGGCATGTCCTTAACGTGTCCCTGGCATGTCCTTAACGTGTCCCCGGCGTGTCCTTAACGTGTCCCCAGCGTGTCCTTAACGTGTCCCTGGCGTGTCCTTAACGTGTCCCTAGCGTGTCCTTAACGTGCCCTTGGCGTGTCCTTAACGTGCCCCTGGCGTGTCCCCGGCATGTCCTTAACGTGTCCCCAGCATGTCCTTAACGTGTCCCCAGCATGTCCTTAACGTGTCCCCAGCATGTCCTTAACGTGTCCCCAGCATGTCCTTAACGTGTCCCTGGCGTGTCCTTAACGTGTTCCTGGCGTGTCCTTAACGTGTTCCTGGCGTGTCCTTAACGTGTTCCTGGCGTGTCCTTAACGTGTCCCCGGCGTCCTTAATGTGTCCCCAGCGTGTCCTTAACGTGTCCCTAAAGTGTCCTTAGCGTGTCCCTAGTGTGTTCTTAGCGTGTCCCTAATGTGTCTCTAACGTGTCCTTAACGTGTCCCTGGCGTGTCCTTAATGTGTCCTTGACGTTTCCCTGGCGTGTCCTTGACGTGTCCCTAGCATGTCCTTAATGTGTCCCTAGCGTGTCTTTAACGTTTCCTTAACGTGTCCCTAGCGTGTCCCTAACGTGTCCTTAGCGTGTCCCTAATGTGCCCCTAGCGTGTCCTTAACGTGTCCCTAACTTGTCCGTGGCGTGTCCTTAACATGTCCCTAGCGTTTCCTTAACATGTCCCTAGCCTGTCCCTAAAGTGTCCTTAGCATGTCCCTAATGTGTCCCTAGCATGTCCTTAGCGTTTCCCTAGTGTGTCCTTAGCATGTCCCTAACATGTCCTGAGCGTGTCCCTAACTTGTCCTTAGCTGGTCCCTAACGTGTCCTTAGCGCATCCCTAACGTATCCTTAAAGTTTCCCTAATGTGTTCCTAGCATGTCCCTAACCTGTCCTTAGCAGGTCCTTAGTGTGTCCCTACCGTGTCCTTAGCGTGTCCCTAATATGTCCTTAAAGTTTCCCTAAAGTGTTCTTAGTGTGTTCCTAACATGTCCCTAGCGTGTCCCTAGTGTGTCCTTTGCGTGTCCCTAATGTGTCCTTAGCTGGTCCCTAACGTGTCCTTAGCGTGTCCCTAACGTGTCTCTAACGTGTCCTTAGCGTATCTCTCGTGTGTCCTTACTGTGTCCCTAGCATGTCCTTAGCAGGTCCCTAATGTGCCCTTAGCGTATCCTTTGTGTGTCGTTAACGTGTCCTTAGCGTGTCCCTAACATATCCTTAGTGTGCCCCTAGTGTGTCCTTAGTGTGTCTGTAAGGTGTTCCTAATGTATCCTTAGCGTGTCCCTAATGTGTCCTTAGCATGTCCGTAACATATCCTCAGTGTGTCCCTAGCATGTCCCTACCGTGTCCTTAGCATGTCCCTAACGTATCCTTAGTGTGTCCCTAACTTGTCCTTAGTGTGTCCCTAGCGGTTCCCTAGCGTGTCCCTAATGTGTTCTTAGTGTGTCCCTAGAGTGTCCTTAGCGGGTCCCTACTGTATCCTTAGCGTGTCCCTAACTTATCCTTAGTGTGTCTCTACCGTGTCCTAAGCGTGTCCCTACCGTGTCCTTAGCGTGTCCCTAACATCCTTAGTGTGTCCTTACCGTGTCCTAAGCGCGTCCCTACCGTGTCCTTAGTGTGTCCCTAATGTGTCCTTAGCATGTCCCTAGCGTGTCCTTAGTGTGTCCGTAACGTGTCCCTAATGTGTCCTTAGCATGACCCTAACATATCGTTAGTGTGTCCCTAGCGTGTCCTTAATGTGTCCTTAGCGTGTCCCTAACATGTCCTTAGCATGTCCCTAACATATCCTTAGTGTGTCCTTAGCGAGTCCCTAACGTGTCCTTAGTGTGTCCCTAACGTGTCCTTAGAGCTTCCCTAATGTGTCTTCAGCATTTCCTTAGTGTGTCCCTAGCGTGTCCTTAGTGTGTCCCTAGCATGTCCCTAACGTGTCCCTAGTGTGTCCCTAATGTGTCCTTAGCATGTCCCTAGCATGTCTTTACCGTGTCCTTAGCGGGTCCCTACCGTGTCCTTAGCGTGTCCCTAGCATGTCTTTACCGTGTCCTTAGCGGGTCCCTAACATGTCCTTAGTGCATCCTTTGCTTGTCCCTAACCTGTCCCCCATGTCCTGTGTCCCACATCCCACATATCCCGTATCCCACATGTCCCATGTCCCATGTCCCACGTGTCCCGTGTCCTGTGTCCCATGTATCCCATGTCCTGTATCCCATGTGTCCCGTGTCCTGTATCCCACGTGTTCCACGTCCTGTGTCCCACGTGTCCCATGTCCTGTGTCCCACGTGTCCCATGTCCTGTATCCCACGTGTTCCACGTCCTGTGTCCCATGTGTCCCATGTCCTGTATCCCACGTGTCCCATGTCCCACGTGTTCCACGTCCTGTGTCCCATGTGTCCCATGTCCTGTATCCCACGTCTTCCGTGTCCTGTATCCCATGTGTCCCATGTCCCACGTGTCCCATGTCCTGTGTCCCACGTGTCCCATGTCCTGTGTCCCATGTGTCCCACGTGTCCCATGTCCTGTATCCCACGTGTCCCATGTCCCACGTGTCCCATGTCCTGTATCCCACGTGTCCCATGTCCCACGTGTCCCATGTGTCCCACGTGTCCCATGTCCTGTGTCCCACGTGTCCCATGTGTCCCACGTGTCCCATGTCCTGTGTCCCACGTGTCCCATGTGTCCCACGTGTCCCATGTCCCGTGTCCCACGTGTCCCATGTCCCACGTGTCCCATGTCCTGTGTCCCACGTGTCCCACGTGTCCCATGTGTCCCATGTCCTGTGTCCCATGTGTCCCATGTCCTGTGTCCCATGTGTCCCATGTCCTGTATCCCATGTGTCCCATGTCCTGTATCCCATGTGTCCCATGTCCTGTATCCCATGTGTCCCATGTCCTGTATCCCACGTGTCCCATGTCCTGTGTCCCACGTGTCCCATGTCCTGTATCCCACGTGTCCCATGTCCTGTATCCCACGTGTCCCATGTCCTGTATCCCACGTGTCCCATGTCCTGTATCCCACGTCTTCCGTGTCCTGTATCCCATGTGTCTCATGTCCCACGTGTCCCATGTCCTGTGTCCCATGTGTCCCACGTGTCCCATGTCCTGTATCCCACGTGTCCCATGTGTCCCACGTGTCCCATGTCCTGTATCCCACGTGTCCCATGTCCTGTGTCCCACGTGTCCCATGTGTCCCATGTGTCCCATGTCCCGTGTCCCACGTGTCCCATGTCCCACGTGTCCCATGTCCTGTGTCCCACGTGTCCCACGTGTCCCACGTGTCCCATGTGTCCCATGTGTCCCATGTCCTGTGACCCACGTGTCCCATGTCCCACGTGTCCCATGTGTCCCATGTGTCCCATGTCCTGTGTCCCATGTATCCCATGTCCTGTATACCACGTGTCCCGTGTCCTGTATCCCACGTGTTCCATGTCCTGTGTCCCATGTGTCCCATGTCCTGTATCCCATGTGTCCCATATCCCATGTGCTATCTCCCACGTGTCCCACGTGTCCCATGTCCCACATGTCCCATGCCCACTGTCCCTTGTGTCCCCCATGTTGGTGTCCTGTGTCCCCACGTGTCCCACTTGTCCCGTGGGTCCCATGTACCCGTGTGTCCCATATCCCATGTATCCCATGTCCCTGTGTCCCATGTATCCCATGTCCTGTGTCCCATGTATCCCATGTCTCTATATCCCATGTATCCCATGTATCCCATATGTCTATATCCCCTGTACCCCACATGTCCCGGCCATACCCCACATGTCCCCCATATCCCCCATACCCCACATGTCCCCAGTACCTCACGTCCCCCCCGTACCCCACATCCCCCCTGTACCCCACACGTCCCCCGTACCCCACATCCCCCCCGTACCCCACACGTCCCCTGTACCCCACACGTCCCCCGTACCCCACACGTCCCCCGTACCCCACACGTTCCCCATACCCCACGTCCCCCCCGTACCCCACACGTCCCCCGTACCCCACACGTCCCCCATACCCCACATCCCCCCCGTACCCCACACGTCCCCCGTACCCCACACGTCCCCCGTACCCCACACATCCCCCGTACCCCACATTTCCCCTGTACCCCACACGTCCCCCCCATACCCCACATCCCCCCCGTACCCCACACGTCCCCCGTACCCCACACGTCCCCTGTACCCCACATCCCCCCCGTGCCCCACACGTCCCCCCTGTACCCCACACATCCCCCCCGTACCCCACATCCCCCCCGTACCCCACACGTCCCCCCCGTACCCCACACATCCCCCCCGTACCCCACATCCCCCCCGTACCCCACACGTCCCCCGTACCCCGCATCCCCCCCATACCCCACACGTCCCCCGTACCCCACATCCCCCCTGTACCCCACACGTCCCCCGTACCCCACATCCCCCCCGTACCCCACATCCCCCCCATACCCCGCACATCCCCCGTACCCCACATCCCCCGTACCCCACACGTCCCCCGTACCCCACACGTCCCCCGTACCCCACACATCCCCCGTACCCCACACGTCCCCTGTACCCCACATCCCCCCCGTACCCCACACGTCCCCCGTACCCCACACGTCCCCCGTACCCCACACGTCCCCCGTACCCCACACGTCCCCCGTACCCCACATCCCCCCCGTACCCCACACGTCCCCCGTACCCCACACGTCCCCCCCATACCCCACACATCCCCCCCATACCCCACGTCCCCCCCGTACCCCACACGTCCCCCCCGTACCCCACACGTCCCCCATACCCCACATCCCCCCCATACCCCACACGTCCCCCGTACCCCACACATCCCCCGTACCCCACACGTCCCCCATACCCCACATCCCCCGTACCCCACACATCCCCCGTACCCCACACCTCCCCCGTACCCCACATCCCCCCCATACCCCACATCCCCCCCGTACCCCACACGTCCCCCGTACCCCACATCCCCCCCGTACCCCACACGTCCCCCGTACCCCACACATCCCCCGTACCCCACACGTCCCCCATACCCCACATCCCCCCCGTACCCCACACATCCCCCGTACCCCACACGTCCCCCATACCCCACACATACCCCACACGTCCCCCATACCCCACACGTCCCCCGTACCCCACACATCCCCCATATCCCGCAGGTGGAGCTGGCCACGGGGCAGTTCCCGTACCAGAACTGTAAGACAGATTTCGAGGTGCTGACCAAGGTGTTGCAGGAGGACCCCCCCCTGCTGCCCCCCGCCATGGGCTTCTCTGGGGACTTCCAGGCCTTCGTCAGGGACTGGTGGGTGCCCCCCCCCCCACACACACCTTGGGTGCCCCCTGGGTGCTGACCCCCCCCCCCTTGGGTGCCCCCCCCCACCCCCCCACACACACCTTGGGTGCCCCCTGGTGCTGACCCCCCCCCCCTTGGGTGCCCCCTGGGCTGACCCCCCCCCACCCCTTGGGTGCCCCCTGGGTGCTGACCCACCTTGGGTGCCCCCTGGGTGCCCCCCCCACCCCTTGGGTGCCCCCTGGGTGCTGACCCCCCCCCCCCCCACCTTGGGTGCCCCCCCACCCCCCCCCCCCCCACCTTGGGTGCCCCCTGGGTGCTGACCCCCCCCCCCCTTCTCCTGCAGCCTCACCAAGGACCACAGGAAGAGACCAAAGTACAACAAGTTACTGGTGAGCCCCAGGGCATGGGGGGGGGCGGGGGGGCTTACTGCACCCTGACCCCATCCCCCTGTGCCCATCCCCATCCCCGTGTCCCCATCCCCCTGTCCCCATCCCCATCCCCATCCCTGTATCCCTGTCCCCATCCCCCTGTGCCCATCCCCATGTCCCCATCCCCATGTCCCTGTCCCTGACCCCATCTCTGTCTCTTCATCCCCATCCCCGTCCACATCCCTGTATCCCCATCCCCATCCCCATCCCCCTGTGCCCATCCCCCTGTCCCCACCCCCCACCCCCTGACCCCATCCCTGTCTCCCTGTCCCCATCTCCCCCTCTTCATCCCCCCATCCCCCTGTCCCCATCCCCGTGTCCCTGTCCCTGACCCCATCTCTGTCTCTTCATTCCCATCCCTGTCCACATCCCTGTATCCCTGTCTCCATCCCCATGTCCCCATCCCCATGTCCCTGTCTCCATCCCCATGTCCCTGTGTCCATCCCTGTGTCCATCCCTGTGTCCATCCCTGTGTCCATCCCCATGTCCATCCCCATGTCCCTGTCTCCATCCCCATGTCCCTGTGCCCATCCCCATCTCCCCATCCCCGTATCCTCATCCGTGTCCCCATCTTCATCCCCCCATTCCCGTGTCCCCATCCCCCCATCCCCCTGTCCCTGAACCCCTTTCCCCCCTTTCCCCCCGTCCACCCCATGTCCCTGGCCCTGTCCCTGACCCCATCCCCCCACTCCCATCCCCCCGGCCCTGACCCCACCTCCCCCCCCATCCCCATCCCCCCATCCCTGACCCCATCCCCCCCATCCCCGTCCCTGTCCCCCTCTCCCCCCATCCCCATCCCCCCATCCCTGACCCCATCTCCCCCCCATCCCCATCCCCTTGTCCCTGACCCTATCTCCCCCCACCCCCATCCCCCCGTCCCTGTCCCCATCCCCCCCCCATCCCCATCCCCTTGTCCCTACCCCCATCTCCCCCCATCCCCCTGTCCCTGTCCCTGACCCCACCTCCCCCTCATCCCCATCCCCCCATCCCTGACCCCATCTCCCCCCCACCCCCATCCCCCCATCCCTGACCCCATCTCCCCCATCCCCGTCCCTGAACCCCTTTCCCCCCCTTCCCCATGTCCCTGTCCCTGACCCCATTTCCCCCCATCCCCCTGTCCCTGACCCCATCTCCCCCCCCCATCCCCATCCCCCATCCCTGACCCCATCCCCCCCCATCTCCCCCCCATCCCCCTGTCCCTGTCCCCATCTCCCCCCATCCCCATCCCCTTTCCCTGACCCCATCTCCCCCCATCCCCATCCCTGACCCTATTTCCCCCATCTCCCCCCATCCCCCTGTCCCTGACCCCATCTCCCCCCCCATCCCCATGCCCCCATCCCTGCCCCCATCTCCCCCTCATCCCCCATCCCTGCCCCCATCTCCCCCCATCCCCCGTCCCTGACCCCATCTCCTCCCCATCCCCATCCCCTTGTCCCTATCACCATCTCCCCCCATCCCCCTGTCCCTGTCCCTGACCCCATCTCCCCCCCATCCCCCTGTCCCTGTCCCCATCTCCCCCCATCCCCATCCCCCCATCCCTGACCCCATCTCCCCCTCATCCCCCATCCCTGACCCCATCTCCCCCCATCCCCCGTCCCTGACCCCATCTCCTCCCCATCCCCATCCCCCCATCCCTGACCCCATCTCCCCCCCATCCCCATCCCTAACCCCATCCCCCATCCCTGACCCCATCTCCCCCTCTGCCCCCTGCACCTCCCCATCTCCCCCCCCGTGTCCCCCAGGAGCACAGCTTCATCAAGCGTTACGAGTCGCTGGACGTGGACGTTGCCTCCTGGTTCAAGGACGTCATGGCCAGGACCGAGTCCCCCCGCAGCGGCGCCGGCCTGGCCCAGCCCCACCTCCCCTTCTTCACCAGGTAGCACCGGGGCAGCCCCGGCACCGCCGCGGGGGTCCCCGGGGCACCCAGCACCCGCCTCGGAGCCCCCTGACCCAGCGCGGCCCGGTGCGGCCTGGTGCATCCCGGTGCATCCCAGTGCGTCCTGCTGCATCCCGGGGCATCCCAGTGCGTCCTGCTGCATCCCAGTGCATCCTGCTGCATCCCGGTGCATCCTGGTGCATCCTGGCACGTCCCGGTGCATCCCAGTGCATCCTGCTGCATCCCGGGGCATCCCGGTGCATCCTGGTGCGTCCCGGTGCATCCCAGTGCGTCCCAGGACATCCCAGTGCATCCTGGTGCATCCCGGTGCGTCGTGGTGTGTCCCGATGCATCCCGGTGCATCCTGGTGCGTCCCGGTGCATCCCAGGGCATCCCAGTGCATCCTGGCACATCCCAGTGCATCCCAGTGCGTCCCGGTGCATCCCAGGACATCCCGGTGCATCCTGCTGCATCCTGGGGCATCCCAGTGCATCCTGGCACATCCCGGTGCATCCCAGTGCGTCCCGGTGCATCCCAGGACATCCCGGTGCATCCTGCTGCATCCCGGTGCATCCCGGTGCATCCCAGTGCGTCCCGGTGCATCCCAGGACATCCCGGTGCATCCTGCTGCATCCCGGTGCATCCCGGTGCATCCCAGTGCGTCCCGGTGCATCCCAGGACATCCCGGTGCATCCTGCTGCATCCCGGTGCATCCCAGGGCATCCCGGTGCATCCTGGTGCGTCCCAGGGCATCCTGGTGCATCCCAGGGCATCCCGGTGCATCCTGGTGCGTCCCGGTGCACCCCAGCACATCCCGGTGCATCCCAGGGCATCCCGGTGCTTCCTGGTGTGTCCTGGTGCATCCCGGTGCATCCTGACACATCCCGGTGCATCCCGGTGCATCCCAGCACATCCTGGTGCATCCCAGGGCACCCCAGGGCATCCCGGTGCGTCCCGGTGTGTCCCGGTGCTTCCCCTCCATGGCCTCTCAACATCCTGGTGCCTCAGTGGGGAGAGGGACGGGGACAGGAGGTGGCAGCAGGACAGGGACATGGATGTGACACAGGACATGGATGTGACACAGGACATGGATGTGACACAGGACATGGATGTGACACAGGACATGGATGTGACACAGGACATGGATGTGATGGGGACATGGATGTGACACAGGACATGGATGTGATGGGGACATGGATGTGACACAGGACATGGATGTGACACAGGGACATGGATGTGACACAGGGACATGGATGTGACACAGGACATGGATGTGACACAGGACATGGATGTGACACAGGGACATGGATGTGACACAGGGACATGGATGTGACACAGGGACATGGATGTGACACAGGGACATGGATGTGACACAGGACATGGATGTGACACAGGGACATGGATGTGACACAGGGACATGGATGTGACACAGGACATGGATGTGATGGGGACATGGATGTGACACAGGACATGGATGTGATGGGGACATGGATGTGACACGGGACATGGATGTGACACAGGGACATGGATGTGACACAGGACATGGATGTGACACAGGACATGGATGTGACACAGGACATGGATGTGACACAGGGACATGGATGTGACACAGGACATGGATGTGACACAGGACATGGATGTGACACAGGACATGGATGTGACACAGGGACATGGATGTGACACAGGACATGGATGTGACACAGGACATGGATGTGACACAGGGACATGGATGTGATGGGGACATGGATGTGACACAGGACATGGATGTGACACAGGACATGGATGTGACACAGGACATGGATGTGACACAGGGACATGGATGTGACACAGGGACATGGATGTGATGGGGACATGGATGTGACACGGGACATGGATGTGACACGGGACATGGATGTGACACGGGACATGGATGTGACACAGGGACATGGATGTGATGGGGACATGGATGTGACACAGGACATGGATGTGACACAGGGACATGGATGTGACACAGGACATGGATGTGACACAGGACATGGATGTGACACAGGGACATGGATGTGACACAGGACATGGATGTGACACAGGACATGGATGTGACACAGGGACATGGATGTGACACAGGACATGGATGTGGGGCAGGGACATGGATGTGACACAGGACATGGATGTGACACAGGACATGGATGTGACACAGGACATGGATGTGACACAGGGACATGGATGTGACACAGGGACAGGGATGTGATGGGGACATGGATGTGACACAGGGACATGGATGTGACACAGGACATGGATGTGACACAGGACATGGATGTGACACAGGGACATGGATGTGACACAGGACATGGATGTGACACAGGGACATGGATGTGACACAGGACATGGATGTGACACAGGACATGGATGTGACACAGGGACATGGATGTGACACAGGACATGGATGTGACACAGGACATGGATGTGACACAGGGACATGGATGTGACACAGGACATGGATGTGATGGGGACATGGATGTGACACAGGGACATGGATGAGATGGGGACATGGATGTGACACAGGGACATGGATGTGACACAGGACATGGATGTGACACAGGACATGGATGTGACACAGGGACATGGATGTGACACAGGACATGGATGTGATGGGGACATGGATGTGACACGGGACATGGATGTGACACAGGGACATGGATGTGACACAGGGACATGGATGTGACACAGGACATGGATGTGACACAGGGACATGGATGTGACACAGGACATGGATGTGGGGCAGGACATGGATGTGACACAGGACATGGATGTGACACAGGACATGGATGTGACACAGGGACATGGATGTGACACAGGACATGGATGTGACACAGGACATGGATGTGACACAGGGACATGGATGTGATGGGGACATGGATGTGATGGGGACATGGATGTGACACAGGGACATGGATGTGATGGGGACATGGATGTGACACAGGGACATGGATGTGACACAGGACATGGATGTGACACAGGGACATGGATGTGACACAGGGACATGGATGTGACACAGGACATGGATGTGATGGGGACATGGATGTGACACAGGACATGGATGTGACACAGGACATGGATGTGACACAGGGACATGGATGTGACACAGGACATGGATGTGACACAGGACATGGATGTGACACAGGGACATGGATGTGACACAGGACATGGATGTGATGGGGACATGGATGTGACACAGGGACATGGATGTGATGGGGACATGGATGTGACACAGGGACATGGATGTGACACAGGGACATGGATGTGACACAGGGACATGGATGTGATGGGGACATGGATGTGACACAGGACATGGATGTGACACGGGACATGGATGTGACACAGGGACATGGATGTGATGGGGACATGGATGTGACACAGGACATGGATGTGACACAGGGACATGGATGTGACACAGGACATGGATGTGACACAGGACATGGATGTGACACAGGGACATGGATGTGATGGGGACATGGATGTGACACGGGACATGGATGTGACACAGGACATGGATGTGACACAGGACATGGATGTGACACAGGACATGGATGTGACACAGGGACATGGATGTGACACAGGGACATGGATGTGACACAGGACATGGATGTGACACGGGACATGGATGTGATGGGGACATGGATGTGACACAGGGACATGGATGTGACACAGGACATGGATGTGACACAGGGACATGGATGTGACACAGGGACATGGATGTGACACAGGACATGGATGTGACACAGGGACATGGATGTGACACAGGACATGGATGTGACACAGGGACATGGATGTGACACAGGGACATGGATGTGACACAGGACATGGATGTGACACAGGACATGGATGTGACACAGGGACATGGATGTGACACAGGGACATGGATGTGACACAGGACATGGATGTGACACAGGGACATGGATGTGACACAGGGACATGGATGTGACACAGGACATGGATGTGACACAGGGACATGGATGTGACACAGGGACATGGATGTGACACAGGACATGGATGTGACACAGGGACATGGATGTGACACAGGGACATGGATGTGACACAGGACATGGATGTGGGGCATGGATGTGGCAGGGGACATGGATGTGACACAGGGAGAGTGTGGATGTGACACGGGACATGAATGGCACACAGGTGGACATGGATGTGACATGGGGACGATGTGGGGCTGGCAGCAGGATGTGACATGGGGACGATGTGGGGCTGGCACCGGGATGTGACATGGGGACGATGTGGGGCTGGCAGCAGGATGTGACATGGGGACGATGTGGGGCTGGCACCGGGATGTGACATGGGGACGATGTGGGGCTGGCACCAGGACGATGTGGGGCTGGCACCAGGATGTGACATGGGGACGATGTGGGGCTGGCACCAGGACGATGTGGGGCTGGCACCAGGATGTGACATGGGGACGATGTGGGGCTGGCACCAGGACGATGTGGGGCTGGCACCAGGATGTGACATGGGGACGATGTGGGGCTGGCACCAGGACGATGTGGGGCTGGCACCATGGGGACGATGTGGGGCTGGCAGCAGGATGTGACATGGGGACGATGTGGGGCTGGCAGCAGGATGTGACATGGGGACGATGTGGGGCTGGCACCGGGATGTGACATGGGACCAGGATGTGGGGCTGGGGCTGGCACCGGGATGTGACATGGGGACGATGTGGGGCTGGAAGCAGGATGTGACATGGGGACGATGTGGGGCTGGCACCAGGACGATGTGGGGCTGGCACCAGGATGTGACATGGGGACGATGTGGGGCAGGCACCGGGATGTGACATGGGGACGATGTGGGGCTGTCACCAGGACGATGTGGGGCTCGCACTGGGACGTGTTATGGGGACGATGTGGGGCTGGCAGCAGGATGTGCTATGGGGATGATGTGGGGCTGGCACCGGGATGTGAGATGGGGATGATGTGGGGCTGGCACCGGGATGTGACATGGGGATGATGTGGGGCTGGCACCAGGACGATGTGGGGCTGGCACCGGGACGATGTGGGGCTCGCACTGGGACGTGCTATGGGGACGATGTGGGGCTCGCACCAGGACGATGTGGGGCTCGCACTGGGACGTGCT